GGCCAGAGAGCAGAACAGAGTCTGCATCTCAGATTTCCACTCGAATTCTTTAAGTTTCTTTTGGTGACTCCATGTGATGGGAGAGAGAATTGGAACAGGGCTTTGCTGCTACTTATGATCATAAATTTCCTTTCTTAAAAAAAGTTGTGGAGTGACTAAGAGTTGAGTGGAAGTAGCTGAGCTGTGGTGAGAGGCTGTGGGGGCGGAGGATCTGGGAAGAGATGCCCACAGAGAATGTTCCCCGTGTGCTGGGGCCCCGTGGAGCCCTTTCAGAATGGGCCTTGGCTTGAGTGGGCGGGAGGAGAGTGAATCAGGCTCTGTGGCCCTGGCTGTGGAGGCCTGAGATGAATGACGGCCTCCGCTTCCCAGGGGAGGGAAGGCTCTGTGGCCGTGAGGTGGGCTCGTGGGCACCTGCCAGACGCCTGCTGCTCTGGGCAGGGCCTTGGTGGGAGACTTCCTGCCTCTATGGTGCCACGTGGTCTCTCCCTGTCCTGCCTGTGCTCCAGTCTTCTTTCCCGAGCAGGTGCCGTTGCAGAAGACGAAACAGCAGTGGGGATGGTGGTCAGGACAGTGATGCTGATGGCGGCAGATGACAGTGATTAAGCACTAGTGCGTGCCAGGCTCTGTATCCTGGCTTTCTGTGCAGTGCTGTGTACATGAGCTTTGTGGTGACACTGTGCGTTTGCCCTCTCCACTTGGGGAGGCAGAGGGTGCCACACAGTTTGTTCATGTTGGCCAGGATTTGGGCCCCATAGGTCTCTGTGACCTGGGAGCTGGCCAAGGGGCTGCTTAGGGGGCTTCAGGGATGTTCCCTCCATCCGCATTCCCCGCTGACATGGCTCCTCTGGGGTGCCTAGCCTCTGAGTGCCTGGCAGGTGCTCTCTGTGGCCACTGCCTGCCCAGGCTGGGACTCTGGCTTCTGTCCTTCCCTCCTTCCCTCATGGCCTCCCTGCTCTGCCCATTCCCCAGCCAGGGCCGGAGGCTCGTACTCTGGGTGCTCCTCTGCAGGAGGACAGGCTCTTCCTCGCGGGGCTGGGGGCCTAGCTGTTCCAGGCCCCTCTGCCCAGGTGGCCCCGGCCCTGCGTGGGGCGTGTCTTTTTCCATCCCTGTGTGATTCTTCAGCCTATTTGGGGTTTATACTTGGTAGCTCAGCTGAGGATAGGCTGATGAGGGCATGAGCATCATTATCTTCACTGCCGTCCCTCTGGGGCCTCAGGGTGCCTGCTCACGCTGTGCCCTCTGGTGGAGGGCCTTCCTACCCAGGATGCTGGCCCAGCCTCTGCACCTTCCCCCATGGGCTGCTCTGAGTCTGCCACTCTGTGGTTGCCTGTGCCACTCAGCATCTCTCCAGCACCCAGTCATCTCCCTAGAGCTTGACACGGGTACTGGCCAGGCTCACACCCAGGTGTAGTGAAGTAGGAACGAACAAAAGGCAGATAGACGCGGCAGGTCTCCAGGGCTGCCAGAGGGCTCAGCGTCAGCAGTGCTGCCTGTCTGTGCCTACTGCCTGTCGGGGAGCAGACGTGCTCAGGGCTCGGCCAGGTGAAGACTGATGACATGCACACATGTGTGTGCTCATGCTCTCAGAGGAGAAGCTGTGTCCTGCCTCAGCTCTGTCACCTACTTGGGACTTTCTCACCTTCCTGGTAGTTCCACAGTATCCATCTCCCTGCCTACAGCTTTGCATATTCACCTAGAGCCGTAGGATTGTGGAGTCCTATGAGTCTTTGGGATAGGATGGAGGGTCTGGCTCTCTGTCTGTCCCGGCATCCTTATCAGCCAACCCTGAGTGCTTGGGGTTGGACTCTCGGCTTCTCATTCCAGCGAGTAGACCTCTACCCTTCCTGACTTCATCGGGTTGAACCCCTGTCTGCAGGATGGTGGCCTGGGGACTGGGAGCGATGGGTCCACTGTGCGTTGGTCCACAGGATACATTCAGACCCTCTCAGGAAGGCTCTTGCCTGGCCCCAGCCAGGAAGCCCTGCCACAGGGCACAGCTGCCCTAAGCAGACGCATGGTCCCTGTGCCAGCCCAGCTGTCTACAGAGCTCTTTCTTGTGCACTGTGTGGTCGATCTCCTTAGGGCCTCCCTGGAGGAGGGTTGCTGAATATTACCCTTGATTTGAGGTTTGGAGTTGAAGCTTGCATTGTCCTTACACACATGGCTCTCACCTTGTGACCTGGCTCCTTATCCCACATGCTTCCGCTGTCAGCGCTGGCAGGACTGTCAGGGCGGACCCTCCCATCTTCCAGATGGTAACACTGAGGCTGGCTTTGGTGAGGGTGGGACAGGGACTAGCCACTGCTTTATGCTTGGTGGCTGACACAGGGCTGGGACTGGCCCCGGCTCTCCCTGCCGCTTCTCTGGGTGAATAGCCCCATCAGGCCGGCTTGCCGCAGGCCAGGGGTGGGCCCTCCACCACCGTGGCCCAGCTTCACTCAGAGGCACTGAGACCCCTCAAGTCCTCTGTTGTCTGAGTTGCCATTAATTACGTGGCAATCACATTTCACTGCTTACAGACAGGACTTCTCTGCACCCAGGCAGAAGCACTCAGTGGGAAATATCGCTTTGTTTTGTGCTCGAACAAGGCTCGAAGGCCTCCGTCAGCACAGCCTGGGTGCCTGTTTGTTCTGCAATTTATCGCCGCATTCGCTCAAGTGGAAACGAAGCAAAGTTTACCACAAGTGGAATTAGTCATTAAAAAGTCATTATCAAATCAAACCACACTTCTTGCTCTTCTACTTACTAATGATAAAACAATTTCTTGAGAAGCTACAAACAACAAACTTTTTCTGCTTTTCTTCGCGGCCAGCCGTTGCTCGCCTGGTGTACTAGGAGAGGATGGTGGAGATTTATTGGTCAATAAAGGAGACAATTACAGCTTGTTTACGAAAGGAAGTCCCCCGCCCTGCCTTGCATGGCATCGACGCTCGGGTAATGATAAGTCTGGTAACCAGCTCAGGACGATAAAAGTCAATGGGAAGATATAGGATTTCAATAAAATTATGACACTCGATAAACCTTCCTGTGGAAACAAATTTTCTACAGATATGTGATCATTTCCAGTTGGATTTGTAACTTTAATTTCTCACTTATTGAATTTTTTGTCATCAACTAATTACGATGTCCATACCGGGTGATAACTGTGCTCTAGCTCAGGAGAAAACAGAAGGGCTGTGGCCACGGCAGCCCCAGGGGCTCCCTGGGCTCACAGGAGGGGAGGCAGCAGGTTTCCTAGGCCCATTCTCACCTGCAAAGGACGGCCTGGTAGGGGCACGTGGGTGACATCAGTGCTGGGGGACAGGGCTGTTGGGCTGGTCTCTCCCAGGGGCCTCAGCTCGTGGAAGTGCGAACCGAGAGTGCCACGTGGAAGGGGAACTGGAGGTCTGAGTGAACAGGTCTCTATCAGCCAGCGCAGTGCGGGCGGTCCCTTAAGCTCACCCACAGCTCCCCGTGAGAGGGCACACTGGCTGGGGACAGTAGTGCCAGGGCTGGACTGGTCTTTTTCCTGGCTCCTTCCCCAAAATGTGTGTGCCAGTGGACATGCGGAGACTGTCGCTGGCCATCGTTTGCCAACATTAATAAGATTCCAGCTGTCATCGTGTGAGCACTGGTTGTTTACAGGACATTGCGCTGGCGCTTTGCCTGTGGCTGAGTTATCTTCACAGCTGTCCATTACCCCTCTTATTAGCCACAGCACTGAGACCTGGGGGAAAAGTAGCTGGCTTCAGGGCAGCACTGGGCTTTGAGCCTGGGTCTTGCAGAAACCCATCCTTTTCTTCCTGGGCTCTGTTGCCCGTGTCATACTTACCCAGTCACCCAAGGGTAGGGCAGAACCCCAGGCAGAGGCTACTGAGCACATCCGCGGATTCTCAGGTCTGCCCCAGACCAGCCAAATCTGAGCCTACCTGGTACAAGGCCCCAGGTGCTTGTGTCTCATGAAGATCTGAGAAGCTGCCCTCTAGCAAACCTGGGCTTCTGAAGGAGAACTGGACTTCCTCTGCTTGTGCAGCCCACTGTGAACCTCAGCAGATGACAGCAGGTTGGAGGTCCCCAGCCTGGGCCTGGAATCTGCTGGGGACGAGGTCTTCTCCATCCACATCTGGGAACCCCTTTGTGGGGCCATCAGAGCAGCGCAGTTCCTGAGCCCAAGGGCATCCTTGGTCTCCAGAGGCCTGTCCTCTCCCTCCAGGACCAGGCAACTGATCCCTTGAGCATCCTAGGAAGGCGTCTGTTCCACCCCTGGCTCAGGACAGGGCCACCCATCTCTCCCAGGGCCCAACTTGCTGGTTCACACTGTCAGCCTTAATCAGCATTTCTAACAGGACACGCTGAGCAGTAATTTCTGTTGTGGCCCAGGAATTAGTCCTGACATTGCACGATCAGTCTGTCATCTCAGGAAACCTGCGCTGCTGCTTCACGTGACCCCCGACTTTTGCCCGAGAAAGGATAAGGGTGCCGGGCCTTGCTAGTGGCACGGTGACATGCTCGTAGCCTCAAGCGTCCCGAGAGCCCTGGGCATTTGCACAGTGGGGTGTTCAAACCCACCTCCCCGACTGACCCCACTGCTGTTTTCCTGGGCTCAGTTTGATTGGGACTCAGAGAAGTCACAGGGACCCATGAACGCAGGCTGGGATGGGGAGCAGAGGCCTCTGCCCGCCAAGGACCCCTGCCCTGCACGTGCTGTTTCCACAGTGGCAGAGGCCTCTGCCCCAACCCAGCCTGTGTCTACACAGCAGGTGCATGGTGGAGCGTCCAACCCACTGCAGCCCGAGGCCTGGCATGGTCAGAGCGAGCGGACAATGAGGCTAAAGACAGGGTTCTCAGTCATCACTGGCCTGGGAACGCCAGGCATCTGGACCTTGTGTCCACGCCAGTGATTTCCTCACAGGTGGGCTCTGAGTATTGACCTGAATCCTTGAACTCTGAACCCATGACCCTGCTCCTGTGTCTGTGTTTCGCCTCCCTGGGCCCTGACCAGCTGCCCTCTATGTCCACAGGAGCGAGATGGCATGCGGGCCATCCTGGGCTCCTACGACAGCGAGCTGACCCCCGCCGAGTATTCGCCCCAGCTGACCCGGCGCGTGCGGGAGGCTGAAGACATGGTACAGAAGGTGCACGCCCATAGCACGGAGGTGGAGGTGAGTCTGCGCCACGGACGGGAGGGGCTCATGTCACCAAAGGGTCCTTCCCCAGGCAGGACTTAGACAGAGTGGGCAGGAGCTGGGTTCTGTCTTCCTGGTTCTGTCTTCCTAGTTCTGGGTTGGCAGGTGGCAGGGGAGGTCACGGGCCGTGGGCTGGTTATTTCGCACACATGATCTACTTGAATTCTCACAACTGCACGGGGCATTCAGCAGGGTCCCCTCAGCTCATGGTGGGGAGGCCCAGGTGGCCCCCGGCCCCTTTGATGGCCTCATGAGGAGAGTTAATCTCCCGGTGCCCAGAGGTGGCCCTGGGGGCTCCAGTGGGTTCTTGCTGGTATGGGGGCTTTTCTGGGTCCTGGAGAGCTTGAGGCTCGGTGTTGCCCAACTTGCCGTGTGACTGGGCATAGGTGTTTATCCTTGCTGTGTCCTCCCGCCCATGTCCCTGTCCTGCTGATGCCACAGGATCCTCCAAGAAGGAGGCGGCCTCAGCCTGTGGCTCCTCTGTCCTTGCCCTGCCCAGTGGCCTCTATGGAGCTCGGTGCCCCCTTCTCACTGAGTGTGGCCTGAATCCTGGCTACTGTGGCATCTTGGGCCTCGTGGCCTGTTCCTAGGGGCTATGTGCTGATGGGTGCCTGGGGGTGTATCAGATTCCCGATTTTCCTTTTTGAACAGCTGGGGTCCACGCCAAGCTTCCCAGCTCTAATCTGCTCAACAGAAAGCATCTGGGTTTTACAGGGCCTGGTGGCTATGGCCTCCCCAACACTCTCCCCGGGCCACAGGTCCCCAACAAGGGAAGAAAGGCCTAGTTCTCCTTTCTGAACCACACAGCCCTTCCTGCGGTATGGGGGGTCCCCTGGCCCCGGACATGGAGCAGGGTCTTCTTGGCTCCTGGCCGCCAGGAACACAGCTACAGCCACATCCGCTAGCACCGCTGATGCTCGGCTCAGCTCTGCACAACCTTTTACTCGCATCGTCTGTCTAATTGTCACTGCATCCCTAGGGAAGGTGCTGTTATTACCCTGATTTTACTGATGAGGAAACTGAGGCCAGAGGGGTCAAGGGATGTGCACAGGTCACTGAGCTGGGAGATTCTGTAGGCTGCAGTGCTTGAGCTCTGGGCCACTGACTGCACTCCCTGCCTCTCGGAGGACTGAGGTTCTGAGGCTTCTGCTGGCTCTGCTAGGCCCAGTGAGCTCACTCTGTGCTAGCCTTGACCGTGGAGACCCATGGTGTGTGGAGCTGTCGGCATGGCCCATTGCTCTGTCCCTGGCAGCTGTGTCTACTCCTCATTCAGCCAGTGTTCTTGGGGCACATCTGATGTCCTAGCTGTAGGGGTGACCTGGGTCCATAGCAGAGAGCCAGGCTGACAGGTGTGACCATAGTTCCTCCCCAGCCAACATTGCCCAGTGCGTCTTCTGGGCCAGGCCCCATTCCAGGGGCACATCGACGAAGCCTGTGCCCCTTCTGAGCTTAGCTTCTAGGTGAAGGGGACATTGATAAGTGAACATAAGTTAAATAGTATGCTAGAAGGTGCTGAGTTCATGGGGCCCCAGGGAGCTGTGCTGCAGTGGTTCTCCTGGGGCTGCTGTACATGGGGAAGGTGGAAATAGAGTTTTGCACAGCTGTGTCTGGGAAGGTGGGTGATTGATGGTCCAGTGGGTAAGAGGAGAGCTTGGGGATAGAGGCTCAGGCCCTGGGAGTGACACTTGGTCTGGGTGCCCACAGGTGCTTGCTGTCTCTTGCTTAACTGGTAACAGAGGCACCCTGGGGGCTATGCTGTGTCCCCACTGCCATGTTAGCCCAGAGCAGCCCCTGGGAGTGAGACCACCTCTTGGGTCCTGCACCCTGGCCTGCTCCTCTGGCCCCAGCCCACTGTCTAGTGTGTGCTGGTGTTCATCCTCCTCCTTCCCACCCTGGCTGTGCCGTCCATACCCAGCAGCCCTGGGAGTGCAGGGCCCACTGCTAAGTGCCATGCATGGACCTCCAGTCCTGAATTGACAGCCATTCTATTATAACACGTTTGGCTCTACCTGAAACAATAATGAAGAGAGGCTTGTGGGGAGGGCTCTCTGACACTCCTTGTCCTCCCACTGTTTTTTTTTACGTTGAGAGATCTCTGTGTCCGTGCGCATCACACACACTCTGGTCTGTTATTTCTGAGCCTAACAGCGTGGGCACACGTGGTGCTGAATGTTCTGGTGTTCTGTGTGTCTGGGTGATCCAGGGCTGTCAGTGGCCTCAGAGTGCATTGACCAAACACCATCACTGAATCAGTGCCTCACCTGGGCAGCCCAGGGGGCCTCAGCCATCACCCCGCTAATGGGGTGTGAGTTGGGGGCTCCTTCCCCCGCTTTCTGTTGTGGGACATGCAATGGGCAGGTTAGTCCCCTTCTTGTCTGTCTCCTGGAGTTACAGGAGGCTCCACAGATGGAGGAGTCAGGTGCCCAGTGGTGCCAGAGTGCAGGCGGCCATCACTAGCACTGGCTGGTCCTTTCTCCGTGGTCATTTCTGTGGGAGTTCACACAGCTGGTCCTAGCAGGGTGGGGCTGAGGAACTGCTCCCCTGAGCCCTGGTGGCCACCTTGGCCTGTCCTTGTCACCCCTATTCCCTCCCAGGCCCCTCCAGAAGTAGCATGGTCCCTGTACTCCTTCCTCCTGGGGGCCCAGGCCCTGGTGCCTGTGCCTGTGTGGACAGACGCTGCAGCCGTATGTTCTGGATGGTGCCCCAGGACTCCCAGCGAGGTCCTCGGGCCCCTAGTCACTGTGCTTTTGGGGATGCCACTCACCCGCTGTGGTCTGTGGAGCAGTCACCACCGCTTCCTGCACAACAGTGGGACCTGGCACCTGGCCTCATTTGGAGGGCGGCACCCCTGAAGGTCTCACCTCCTGGAGCAGTGACTAGACCAGCATGGTCAGGAGGTCTGTCTGAGTGTGCTGGGCCCAGTGCCCAGATGCCTCTACCAGGTGGCAGCAGATAAGCCCGCGATCCTGTTCCTAGGGCCAGGATGGGCCTGGCCTTGGCAGGCAGAGCAGGTGGGTCTCAGAGCCCACAGCTAGGAGCAGCGGGTGGGATGGCGCTGCCACTGAGGGAGTCCTGAGGAGGTGGGCTTCTCCCAGCCCTGTCTTGGCACGTGTGCTGGGGAGAAGGATGCCTTCTCCCGCTAAGTCAGCCCGGCATCTGCTGGCCTCATCTGTACCAGACAGCCCTGCGCGAGGCCCTGTGTGCAGTCAGGTCCCCAGGAGCTGCCTGTCTAGTGAGGTGTAAGTTGGGAGGCGGCAGTCACATTGCCAGGGCACAGGGAGCCAGGTGTGCCCGGAGCCCGCACCAGGCTGAGGGGGAACCTGTTTTTGGTGGAGGCCAGAGGCCTGGAGAGCTGATACAGGAGGGGCGGGAAGCCAGTGCGGGGACCCAGGTCAGCTGGGCTTTGGTAACACCTCTTCTCTGCGGGAGCAGCACCACTCCACAGGAAGGACCCTCCAGTCGCATGCTGGCTGCCGCTCCAAGTGCAGGGGTGTTTGCCCCCAGGGCAGTTGCAGGACTAGGAGGGAGTATGCGGTTTGAGGACTCAAGCGGGTACCCCGCTGTGCTCTCCTCCTTTCTCGGCAGCGTCTCCTTACCGCCCCCTCCCCAGGAGGGCAGACTGACTGCATGGTAGGGTAGCCGGTGCTGACGGAGATAGGAACCTGCATCGCGGCAGGAACCCAAGGGGTTTCCCCAGACACTTGATAACATCACAGGAGTAACAGGTACAGAGAAACATGTAATAAAACCGTTTCTTCTGTAGTTTTTGGAGGGCAGTACCTTTTAAAATGGAAATGTAGTGTGGAAACAAAGAAATCAGGAAAGTACAGGAAGCACAGCTTATGACTGCATTCAGCCAGCAGCCTCACTGTGGTGTGAAGACCGAGCCCCCAGGAGCTCCATTGCTGTCCCCCAGCCAACATCACGGCCTTTCCTGTGGTCGGCACCCTAGGCACCTTTGGAAGTGTGAGCCCTCACCGGAGAGGGGCTCTCATACGGACACTGGCTCTCACCCAGCATCTCTGCCCACCTGCAGCAGAGGGACCAGGGCTTGGCAGCCTGGCTGGAGCCTCCCTGCTCTCCGCAGTGCAACACTGTAGTGGGGCTGGCTGGGGCCTGCCTGCGGGGAGCTTCTGCTGGGGGCTCTGCTGTACTTGGTCCTCCCTGCAGAGGTGGCCCCAGTCTGGAAGAAGGAGGCCTCAGCTTGAGGGGCTAAGCAGTTAACAGAGGGAGGGGCAGGATGAGAGTGGGGCATGGCTCTGAATGAGGTGGGTTGAAGGACGGCTTTGCCCACCTCGTCAAGAAGAGCAGCCCAGCCAGGATACCAGCCCCCAGGACAGGCAGGTGCCCAGTGAAGGGAGTGTGGTGCTTGCCAGAAGACCCAGAGCATGTCCTGGGTCTGCAGCCATTGCTTGCTGTGACAGGGCCTTGGTCTCTTCTCTGCAAAGTCTGGTGGTGGTCCAGCGTGTGCCTGGCGAGAATGCCCTGGGGCAGGGGCTGGCCTGTGGGCCTCCCTGTAGCCATTGTGAGGATCTCACTCTTCCTGGGCCAGGAGAAGAGAACCCAGGAAGGCTTTCTGGTGAGCTCAGCTCAGGTTGTGCTGAGGGCTGGACCCACACCGCCGGTGGGAGTCTGGCTGCAAAGTCCACATGTCCTGTGCTTGCGTGTGGGGTGGAGCCACCCCTGCACCCGCAGGTAGGGCCCCCAGAGGATGGAGCCAGGCTCCTTGCAGGACTGAGGTCTCCAGGCTCCCAGGTCATGCATTGCTGGATGGTGAGCAGGAAACCCTGGGCTAGGCAGAAAAGTGAGTGGGCTCCCAGAGGAGCCGTGAGATCCACTTGGGTGTTGAACCAATGCCAGTCCCAGTCTGGGATCCCACAACCCACACCCTCTTCCCATCTCCAGCCAGCTTCTTTGGGGGCACAGGCCTCTGTGTCCAGGCTTCCCATTGGGCAGCAGCTCAGTCACTGGGCATT